AGTCCAGTCATGAGCCCCATTGACATCTGGAAATCGAGGTTGAGAGGGGACAGTGACCAGGTTCAAATCTTTCGCTGCTGTGAGACCTTGAGCCTCACTGCTCACCACTCTGAACCTCAGTTTCTTCACCTGTAAAATGGGATGCTAACTTGGCCTCCTGACATCTTGTGACCTCTGCGAAGTCACAGCTGGATGATCTGATCCAACGTGAGGTCCTCAACCATAGAGGATGTGACCACCAGCGTCACAAGGCCAGATAAAGTCCTCTCACCCACACACTGTTGGCAGCCCAGGGGTCCCCCCAGGGTCTAGAGCCAGGAGACTGGGTCAGGCAACCTGGGGTGGGGTGAGACTTGTGGAATGCTCTGGACTCTTGGCCTGCAGCTGCGGAGCCGCTTCGGGCACGTGTTCAGCCTGCAGCTGGCCCGGACGCCTGTGGTCATAATCAACGGGCTGGCGGCCATGCGCGAGGCGCTGGTGGATCAGAGCGAAGACACCGCCGACCGCCCACCTGTGCCTGTTTTTGAGCACCTGGACTTCGGACCCCACGCGCAAGGCAAGCGGAGGAGGGAAGGATTGCGGCCCAGCGGCGACTTGGCCCGCAGTGACCCGAGACCCGCAGGGCCAAGCGGAGGCAGGGTGGTGGACCTGCGGAGCAGGGAGGAGTCAGCGAATTTAAAGGAGCAGCAGGTGGAGGAAGAAGCCTGTGCTAAGGGTGGGGAGGTGGATGCAGGCGATGCGGAGGGCGGGGCCTTACTGGAAGTGGGCGGGGCCGGGCCACTGTGAGCAGGAAGGGGATGTCTGGGTGGCGGGAATGAGGAGCACGGAGTCGGTGTGGGCGGGGGAGGGCGTGGGCCGGGAACCTTCCCTGGACGGAAGGACATCTCGGTGGGCAGAGCCAAGAGTGGGGCCAAGACCTGCCCCCAGTGTGGAGACCTGGCGAACAATGTGGGCGGGCAGAGGCTGGGATCTGTCCCCAGCCGGAAGGAGGTGTAAAGTGGGCGGGACTGCAAGGTTTAGAGAATAAGAATACTGTGGGGGATGTAGGCGCGGGACTGTGTGAGCAGGGCTGGGGCGGGGCATGTCACCGGATAGACTGCTGGGTGGGCGAGCCAACAAGCAAGGTGTGCGCGCAGAGGCGGGGCCAGAGCTCACCCGAGCCACACCCACGTCCGCCCCGCCCCCAGGCATCCTCTTTGCCCGCTATGGGCGCGCCTGGCGGGAGCAGCGGCGCTTCTGCGTGTCCACCCTGCGCAACTTCGGCATGGGCAAGAAGTCACTGGAGCAGTGGGTGACCGAGGAGGCCTCGTGCCTCTGCGCCGCCTTCGCAGACCAGGCCGGTGAGTGCGGGGCTGAGGGACAGGAGACAGGGATGGAGGCTGGGGAGGGGGAGATGGAGGCGACCCCCTGACCTGCACCTTCCCCTCCGAGGACGCCCCTTTAGCCCCAACGCCCTGCTGAACAAAGCGGTGGGCAACGTGATCGCCTCCCTCACCTTTGGGCGCCGCTTCGAGTACAACGACCGGCGCTTCCTCAAGCTATTGGACCTCGCAAATGAACAACTGAAGGAAAATTCTGGCTTTCTGCCCCAGGTACGGGGGAGGAAGGCCCCAAGGAGCCCTGTGGGCAAGCCCCATGGTGGAGCCCTCTGCCTACAATGGGCCTCCGCGGAGGAGGATTTGGATAGAGGGGAGTTGGGTCAGCGGGCACCTGGAGAGGGCTAAGGAACCTGTACCTCTTTCATTGGAAGCCATCAGAACCCGTGAGATGTAGATTTTAGGTTTATACATTCGGGACAAGGCCAGGAGAGAAGGTTGTAGTTGGAACATGGGGAGGAACGAGGTTGATGGTGGGGACACCCAGGGAGGGGCTGGGACCTGATTGGTGGAGGTGAACACCTGAGCACAGGGAGGACCCAGGGCCCCACATCTGTGGCCTGCACAGGTGCTGCATGCCATACCAGTGCTCGTGCACATCCCGGGGCTGGTCGACAAGGCTTTTGCTGCCCAGAGGGCCTTCATGGCCCTGGTGGATGAGCTGGTTGCTGAGAACAGGATGACCCGGGACCCGGCCCAGCCTCCCAGAGACCTGACTGATGCCTTCCTGGATGAGGTGGAGAAGGTGAGCTGCCATGGACGAGGGCAGAGGTTGTGGGTTGGCGGACATTGAGAGGAGCCTGGCAAGGTGGGGCCTGTGTATCACCCAGTGATCAGGCACCAGGGCTGAGTGGGTACAGAGTGGGAGGCCATTTGGGGTTTCCTCCCTCTGCCCCTGAGCCCACCATCTCTGCATGGCCCAGGCCAAGGGGAACCCCGAGAGCAGCTTCAATGATGAGAACCTGCGCCTGGTGGTGACTGATCTGTTCTTTGCCGGGATTGTGACCACCTCGACCACGCTGGCCTGGGCCCTCCTGCTCATGATCCTGCACCCGGATGTGCAGCGTGAGCCCAGCCTGGGGGCCTGGTGGGCTGGGCCGGGGAGGAGAGTGGGACAGGCTGGGGCCCTGAGCTTGGTTGGCCATCTGGAGCTCTGAGCAGAGGCGGGGCCCTGGCTCAGGGGTCAGAGTGACCTCCTCCTCCCCGTGGGCACAGCCCCTACACGGGTGTCAGGAGAAGGTCACGGTCCAGCGCCCTGGGTTCTGACCACTGTGGGGACGCTTGTCTGTCCAGGCCGTGTCCAACAGGAGATCGATGAGGTGATAGGGCAGGCACGGCGACCAGAGATGGGGGACCAGGCTCACATGCCCTTCACCATGGCCGTGGTCCATGAGGTGCAGCGCTTTGGGGACATCATCCCACTGGGCTTGCCCCACATGACATCCCGCGACATTGAAGTGCAGGGCTTCCGCATCCCCAAGGTAGGCCTGCGACCCTGCTCACCCCAGTTCAGCTCCGCCTGCCCCCTGGTGGGCTCAGCATGGCCATTGCCAGGTGTGACCAGGACTGGAACCCAAGTCACCTGATCTTCATTTGCACAGGCACCCACTGTCCAGCCTGGGTGGGTGTGGGGAGGAAGCAGAGGCACGGCTGGCCCTGTCCATGTAGAGCCCGCAGTCTGTTCAGGGGAGGACAAACTAAAATCTGCCACAGTGTGTTGGAGGAGCCATGCATGCCGGGACAGGTGGCACGGAGCGTGCCTATGGGAGGTTATTCTCGTGGCCCTGCCATGGGGACAGGGGTGGTGGTGGGAAGCTCTTGGGCTGAGACTGACATGTAAGTGTCCAGGTGTGTGCCACGCAGAGAGTGTGGCCCATGTGTGTTTGCTGGCAGGAGTCCAGACACCCCTCAGCCCAGACCCCACCCATGCCAGGCATCTCCTGCCAGGGGACATGGCTTTTCACCAACCTGTCATCAGTGCTGAAGGACGAGACCGTCTGGAAGAAGCCCTTCCGCTTCCACCCTGAGCACTTCCTGGACGCCCAGGGCCGCTTCGTCAAGCAGGAGGCCTTCATGCCCTTCTCAGCAGGTGCCTGTGGGGAGCCTGGCTCACTGTCCCCTCCTGAGGGAGTCTTGAGACATAGAGCCCAGGCCCCCAGGCTCACTGACCCCCATACCCACCCACAGGCCGCCGCTCGTGCCTTGGGGAGCCCCTGGCCCGCATGGAGCTCTTCCTCTTCTTCACCTGCCTCCTGCAGCGCTTCAGCTTCTCGGTGCCCGCTGGGCAGCCCCGCCCCAGCGACCACGGTGTATATGGTGGACTGGTGACCCCATCCCCCTACCTGCTCTGTGCTGTGCCCCGCTAGAGGGGTCACCAAGTCCCTAACCCGCTCCTGGAGAAGCACTGATGTACAATAAACCAGTCTGATGACTCCAACCTGGCTTGAGTCCCATTCTGGCCCCGTGACCAGGCACAGCCAGTGATTCGGCCTCAACAGCCTCCCCAGGCCAGCCTCTACCCCTCCCTGATCCAGCCTCACCTGGCATTTAACCCCATTTGAAGATGGGCGTACTGAGGCTCAGAAGGGACAGCTTACCCCCTAGTCACACATGGAGACCCAGCACTGGCTGCCCTGGTTGGTGACTAAGTCCATGTAAAAGTCTTGACTCCTGGGTGTCAGGGAGCAGGAGGAGTGTGAATGGGCTTCTGATAGGAATCAGCCCGAAACCTGGCTGGGTGAGCACTCTCAGCTTCAGGGATTCACTACAAGGCCTCACAGGGGTTAGAAAAGCTGTTACACCCATGGTCATGGTCTTTCCAGAGAAATGATCCACATAGAATTAGCAGTGGTCAAAGGCACATAGGTGGAGTTCAGGAAGAACTTCCAGCACAAGCTTCCAGCTGTCTCTCCATAGTATTCCTGCAGACAGTGCTCAGTTCTCCCAGCAATGAGTGACTCCGCAGAGAGTATTGCTCACCAGGGAGGCTCACCCGAGTCTGGGTGTCCAGGGATTTTGTTGGGGGTCAGTCACTTTACTGAGAGAGTCATGCTGCTGACCTCAGTTACTCAGTCTCCAGCCCCTCTCAAGGTCAAACTGTGTGGCCCAAGGCCCCTGCCATAAATCACATTGCTGGCAGAAACTGTGTGGTGTGACCCCAGGCCCCAAGTACAGAGACACTCTTGTCAGGCAGGTCATCCCAAGGTCATAGGGGATGTTTCCGTGGAGGTTGTGAAGGGCCAGGCATTTTTGGGGGGATGTGCAAGGCTGGAAAATCCCAGAGCTACTGAGTAAACTTTTTACTGCACAGGCCACGTCCCTGGTTTTTTGCTCCTACAGCAAAATGGTCATATTTGTTTGAGTATCTACTTTTTCTGTGTGTGTGTGTGTGTGAAAATATACGCAACATAAAATTTGCCCTCAATCATTTTTGAGTGTACAGTTCAATGCTATTAAGTTCTCATATTGTTGTGCAACCATCACCCCATCCATCTCCAGAACTCTTTTCATCTTACAAAACTGAAACCTTGTCCCCATTAGACAATAACTCTCCGTGCCTCTCCCTATAGGCCCTGGAAACCACCATTCTACTCTGTATCTCTGTGAATTTGACTTCTACTGGGAACTCATATGAGGGGAATCCTACCGTCTTTGTCTTTTTGTGACTGAGTTACTTCACTTAGCATGATTTCCTCAACGTTCAACTATGTTGTGACATGTGTCAGCATTTCCTTCTTTTTTTAGGCTGAATAATACTCCATTGTATGTATAGACCACATTTTGCTCATCCCTTCATCTTTCTATGGACACTTGGGTTGCGTCTACCTCTCAGCTGTTGTGAACACTGCTGCTGTGAACATGGGGCACAAATATCTCTTTGAGACTCCGCTTTCAATTTGTGGATATATAAGCACTGGACTGTTTTCCACAACAGCTGCACCATTTTACATTTCCACCAGCAGTGCGCAAGGGTTCTGATTCTCCACATCTTTGCCAACACTTGCTATTTTCTGTTTTGATGACAGGAGGCATCCTATGGGTGTGAGGTGGTGTCTCATTGTGGTTTTGATTTGCATTTCCCTAATGATGAGGGATGTGGAGCATCTTTTCATGTGCTTATTGTCCATTTGTAGATCTTCTTTGTAGAAGTGTCTATTCAAGTTCTTTGCCCATTTTAAAATTGATTTGTGTGTTTGCTGTTGTTGTTTTTGATTTTTAGGAGTTCTCTCTATATTCTAGATATTAATCCCTTATCAGATACAGTCATGTGCCGCATAACAACGTGTAGGTACGACCACCGCATGTATGCCAGTTTCCCGTAAGGTTAGTACCATAGAGCCTAGGTGTGTAGTAGGCTATTCCATCTAGTTTTGTGTAAGTACACTCTATTTTGTTCACACAATGACGAAATAGCTTAATGATGGATTTCTTCAAAATGTCTCCCTGTCATTAAGCAACATGACTTTATGTGATGTGAAAATATTTCCTCCCATTCTGCAAGTTAACTTTTTCTCTGTTGATAGTATCTTGCTGTGCAATATTTTTTGATTTTTATGAAGTCCACTTCGCCTACCTTTTTTTTTCCTGAGGAAGATTTGCCCTGAGCTAACATCTGTGCCAGTCTTCTCCAATGTTCTCTGTGTGTTGCCACCACAGCATGGCCACCAACGTGTCGTGTAGCTCGGAGCCTGGGAACTGAACCCGGGCCGCTGAAGCAGAGCGTGCCGAACTTAACCACTAGGCCGTGGGGCCAGCTCCTTTTACTTTTTTTTTATGTTGCCTATGCCTTTGGTGTCATATCCAAGAAATACTGCCAAATACAATGTTGAGAACCTTTTGTCCTTTGTCTAAGAAGATTCACCTAAGAATTTTCTTAGCTTTCTTTTAAGAATTTTCTAGTTTTAGCTCTTACATTTAGGTCTTTTATCCATTTTGAATTAATTTTTGTATATGGTGCTAGGTGAAGGTCCAACTTCATTCTTTTGCATTAAGATTTCCGGATTTCCCAGCAGCATTTATTGAAAAGACAGTCCTTTCCCCCTTGAATAGTCTTGGCACCTGTGTCAAAATCATTTGACTGCACATGAGGGATTGTTTCTGGGCCTTCTATTCTCTACATTGGTCTATATCTCTGTCTTTATGCGGGTACCACAGTGTGGATTACTGTAGCTTAGCAGTAAGTTTTGAAATCAGGAAGTATGAGTTTTATTCTTCTTTTTCAAGATCATTTTGACTATTTGGGGTCGCTTGCAATTCCATATGAATTTCAGGATTGATTTTTCTATTTCTGCAAAACAGTCATTGGGATTTTGACAGGAGTTGTATTAAATCTAGAGATCATATTGAGTCGTCTTGATGTCTTTACAATATTGCTTTCCAATCCATGAACCTAGGATGTCTTTCAATTTACTTGTCTCCTCTTTAATTTCTCTCATCAATGTTTTGTAGTTTTCATGGTACAAGTCTTTCACCTCTTTGGTTGAGTTAATTCCTAAGTATTTTATTCTTTTTGATGCTATTGTAAATCAAAATGTTTTCTTAATTTCCTTTTTGCATTGTTCATTGTTAGTGTATAGAAATACAGCTGATTTTTATTTATTTATTTATTTTGGCTGAGGAAGATTCGCCCTGAGCTAACACCTGTGCCAATCTTCCTCTATTTTGTATGTGGGTCACCACCACAGCATGGCAGCTGACAAGTGGTATAGGTTCGCATCTGGGAACTGAACCCGGGCCGCCAAAGCGGAGTGTGCCGAAGATAACCACTAGGCCCCGGGGCCAGCCCACAGCTGATTTTTGTGCATTGATTTTGTATCCTGCTGCTTTGCTGAATTTGTCTAGAAGTTCTAACGTGGTTTTTTGTGGAATCTTTAGGTTTTTCTACATACAAGATCATATCACCTGTGAAGAGACATAATGATATTTCTTCCTTTCCAATTTGGATGCTTTGTATTTCTTTTTCTTTCCTAATTCCCATGGCTAGGACTTCCAGTACTCTGATGAATGGAAGTGGCTAAAGTGACCATCCTTTCTTTTTTCCTGATGTTAAAGGAAAAGATTTCAGTGTTTCACCATTAAGTATGATGCTTACTGTGGGTTTCCTTCTATTCCTAGTTTGTTGAGTGTTTTTAACATGAATGAGTGTTGAATTTTGTGAAATGCTTTTTCTCCATCAATTGAGATGATTATGTAGTTTTTGTTCTTCATTCCATTAAATTGTGTATAACATTGGTCAATTTTCATATGCTCAGTCTTTCTTGAATTCTGTTAGTAAACCTCATCTGGTCATAAACCTTTCCAACTTATATAATCCTTTTACTATGCTGCTCAATTTAGTTTGCTAGTATTTTCTTGAGGATTTTTGCATCAATGTTCATGAGGAATATTGGTCAGTAGTTTTCTTTTCTTGTAGTTTCTTTTTCTGGCTTTGAAACCAGAGTAATGCTGGACACAGAATGTGTTAGGAAGTGTTCCCTCCTCTTCCATTTTGTGGAAATGTTTGAGTAGGATATATCTTATTTCTTCTTTAAATGTTGGGTAGAATTCAACAATGAATCATCAGGTCCAGGGCACTGCTTTCTTCAGAGATTTTGGATTATTCAATCTCCTCATTAATTAAAGTTCTATTCAAATTTTCTCTTTCTTTATTAGTTAGTCTTGGTTAGTTTTGTGTTTGTAGGAATGTGTCCATTTCATCAATAGGTTATTCGATTTGTTGGCGTACATCTGTTCACAGAACTCTCTTATAATGCTTTTTCTTTGTGTAGAATCAGTAGTGATGTTCCCACTTTCATTTCTGATGTTACTAGTTTGAGTCTTCTCTCTTTTTTCTTAGTCCATCGAGCTAAAAGTATGTCAGCTTTGTTGATCCTTTTGAAGAAACAACTTTTGATTTTCTCTATTATTTACCTAGTTTCCACTTCATTTATCTCTGCTCTACATTATGTCTTGCTAGCTTTGAGTTTAATTTGCCCTAATTTTCCGCTTCTGTTTTTTTTTTTTTTTTGGTGGTAAAGATTCACCCTGAGCTAACATTTGTTGCCAATCTTCCTCTTATTTTTGTTGCTTGAGGAAGATTAGCTCTGACGTAACATTTGTGCCAGTCTTCCCCTATTTTGTGTGTGGGATGCCTCCACAACATGGTCGAAGAGTGGAGCAGGTCTGCACCCTGGATCTGAACCCGTGAACCGAGGCTGCTGAAGTGGAGCGCCTGGAACTTTAACCTCTCAGTCACGGGCTGGCCCCCTTTTCTGCTGCTTTAAGGTGTAGACTTAGGTAGTTGATTTGAGATCTGTTTTAATGTAGGCATTTACATTTATAGACTTCTCTGAACACAACTTTGACTGAATTCCATAAGTTTTGGTATATTATGCTTTCAATTTCATTCATTTCAAGC